TCAAAATCTGTGTTTTTTTTTTTTATTTTATTTTATTATAAGGGGATTAAGTTTTTGCCGATTATTCTCTCGATTTTGGTTACTAGTCATCGTAACTCAAGTGGATGATTTAGAACATTGACCCTAGAGGGTATGAGAAGTGTTAAATCTGAGACTTCTGAATTACCAGATAATTCCAGATAACTTTGTAATGTAATTCAAGCAAAATATGATCAAATCTAATGAATATCCAATAAAACTTACTTGAAATTGTTAAAATTCTAGGATAATTGAGTTGTAAAAGTGAAATCTTTTACATTATCCAATCAAATTGAGAAGAGTTTTAAAATTAAATTTGAATCAAAATTTTCAAATTGAAATTCAATTAAAGTCTTATCATCTGTTCATAAGTCGCAATAAATTTTGATGATTGTCATTTGGTCGCCCTCTCCCATTGCCTTCATTGTTGAAGATTGCTCCATTCCAGCTTGATTTGTAGTAGTAAATCCAGTTGGTAAACAAACAGAGACTAAACCCTAACCTATGAACCAGAAAAAAAAAAAACCTAGATATTACAAACATGAAAGAAAAAGAAAATTTATCAATTTTTTTTTTCTTAAAATACGATTATTGTAAGAGGAAGAGGATTCTCAGTAGTATAATCTGATGACATAAAACACAACTTAGTCTTATTACTTATTAGTTAGGATCCGCTGCTAATTCAATGATTAAAATAAATCATTCCTTCCGTTCTTAAATATCTATCGTTTTACACAATTTTTTTTGTTTCATAATATCTGTTGTTTAATGAAACTAAAACATAATTAATATTTTTTCTTATAAATTTACCTTTAACTTTGCAATGTATTAGATTAGGTAGAGACTAAGTGTATTTTATATTCCTTTCTTTCCCAATACTTATTGAATAAGGGTATTTTAATCTTGTGTAATTATTTTTTACTCATATTAGAGCTATTTAATAGTTTCGTGCAAAAATCTTAAACGACAGATATTCAAGAACGACAGATATTCAGGAACGGAGGAAGCAGATCAATAAATTATGTCGAAATAATATCACTGTGAAAGATATTATACTTGTTTAGATGTATGGGAAAGTTACTAGTAAACGCCTTTCTTGTAAGTCTAGATGAAGAAAAAATGGCGTCATCAGCGAAACTTCCATAGCTTCTCTTTCGGCCTCCCATGAATCAGATAAGCATTTCAAAATTACATTATCTGGGATTATGAAGGCACCATTTATTTCCAGAATGAAAAACAAAAAACAAAACCCTAGAAAAATTAGAGATTAGAATTCGAACCTTTGAAAGATTCGATTCGAGACTCTGAGTATAGTTGAGCAGAACACTGCACAAAATAGCAAACGAAACCCTGGTAAACCCTAGATAGCTCTTCAAACATTGTTGGTTGGTTGCTACTATTTATAGTTGCTTTGCGCCTTTTAGACAAAACCCTAATCTGCATCAGTTTCAATGTTTTTTTTGGGTTATTTATAGAATGCTCCCTTCAAGTTTAGGTCATATTCAATCAACTTCCTTTAGTTTTAGTTTTAACAATTTACTCCCTGAAAGTTTGAATATGTAAATTAAATCAAGCTGATAATTTTTACAGTAAAAAATGACAAAAAATATTCATTGAGAAATCCCATGATCTCAAATCTTACGAAGAGATAAGATCACTTTTCACATCATTTTGTCTCGGGAAGAAAATTTTGGTTTTTTTAAAAAAAAATTTCGAATTTAGTGTAATTTTCTCTTTTCAATAAATCTGGAATCATGTGACTTAATTTCTATTATTTTTTATTGTCGAAACTAATAATTTGAGTTAATTTGAAGAATGTACAAATTTTGAGGAGATAAATTGTTGAAATTCAAATTGTAGGGAGTTGATTGCAACTTGATCCAAATTCGAAGGGGGAAGTTGCAATTAACCCTCTTTTGTTTTTTGGTTATTTGGGGGAATTGTCACTTGAACCCCCAGAAAGATCTTAAAATATTTATTTTTCACCTTTGAAGTAATAGAATTACACACTATCCCTCTAATGTCTTAAGAGTGTTGCAACTTGCCCTAATTGAAAAGGAACGCCGAGACAATTAATTTTTTAAGGAGAAGAAAGGGTACACTCGATTCCACGGCGAAAAGTGCCAATAACGGAAGTCACTGCTAGCATTGAAATTGAAAACTATAATCGTACATTAATTGAGGACCAAAAACAACTAGGCTTGTGAATCATGTCAAGGGATGCCAATTTGTGACAAAAAATAGTTCATTTATACTCGATTCGTTTATTAATTTGTCCTACATTGAATTAGTGTCGTATATGAACCATATGTAACTACTAATTAGTATATAAATAAGTTGTATCGTGTATTTTTTTTATTGACTTTACCCATATCCGATTCATTTATTAATTATGTCGTGTCAGGTCCACTCGTTTATTAAATAAATGACTTAAAAAAGATTTAAACCCTCTAATTTCGTATCGTATTAACCAATCGTGTCATATTTGACGCTCTTACAAATAGGGGTGTTCACCCTACCCTACCCGATCAAGTATAATATTCCTACCTGATTTTCGTCAAAATTAATCCGGTAGGAAATCGGGTGAACACGTTTTGTAGTTATTAATTTTTGGATCATTTTAACAATTCAATTAAATAATTTATACCAATTTAACAACACAATAATCTAATAACACTAAAACCTACAACAATTACAATAAAACACAAGAAAACCCAAAGTATAAACATCAATCCATCAAAATTGTTGTACAAATACAATAACAACTATTTTACGTTTAAACCATATGAAACACATCAAAAATCATAACTGTTTAAATAGATCACCACAAATCATGTAACCTATTCCAAAAACTATACTTGATCGGTTAGAGTAGACCATGAAAAAATTATTTCGCAAAATATCGAGTAGGGTGAACACCCCTAGAATAGAGAGGCGAGAAAGGGCAAGTTACTGAACAGGAAAGGGTATTCAAAGAAAGGGTGAGAGAGATTAGAGAAGCGGATGGGGAGAGAGGTGAGAGAAGCGGGATAGCAAGAGAGGTGAGATGAGGAGGCTGGAGGTGAGACAAATGAGGTCTTGAGGAGGCGACAAGGCGTTAGGGAATTAAGTTTTTAATTATGCGAGTAGGGTAGGGTTGGAATGTAAAAATTTGATGGGTATTCTGTTTTCTTATCCAATTTAATCAAAAAATCAAAAATTCTTTCGCATTTTTACTCGATTTTTTTGGCTAGCCGATCAATAAGGTAAGGTCGAGTAGGGTAAAAAATTGCGATTAATTGAAAATTTGAACAACCCTACTTACAAACAACCAATAAATATGGATTTTAAGTTGAATGGCTAACATAGGGGTGTTTATGGGTTAGGTTGGCCAGGGGCAACTTAAGTTAATTTGAGACTTATAGGGGAAACGTTAAACGAAGGTTTTTTAATTTTTAGTATTTTTTTTAAAAAAATTAATTTATTTTTAATTTTCTATGTGAGAGGGAGACAAAAGAAGGATGTGTTAATATTGTCGAGAAAGAGATTTCAATTTTTGTTTTTGTTTTTGTTTTTTATCACAGAGAAGGAGAGAGAGTGTTTAATTTCAACTTTTATTTTTGTTTTTTTATTTTTTTACCGGAGAGAGAGAGGGAGAGAGAATGAGTGAGAGTAAATATGAGTTGACTTTTGAGTATTTTTTTTAATTTCTAACTTTTTAATGTTATGGATTAGATTATAGACTCAAATTATTGACATAAAAATTTTGATTGAATTTAATTTTTTAAGGTTTTTTTGTAGGGTTTAAAATTTAATAAATTTAATTTTTTTGTGAGCTAGCGATATAACGAAAATTATGAGGCCTTCTAAAATTTGGAGACTAAAGTCCATACTGTTGAACCGGCCTTGAGATTAGCCCACTAAACCGTTATTCGGCCCAAAAATAGGTCCTAAGTCTGAACCTAATGTGTTATAAGAAAGGGTTTGAATTTACTCCTTAGCCGACCCAAAAAACTCACTCACAAAACCTGGGCCAATCCACCCGGCAAGTTAGTTGGCATGTTTATTAATTACTACAAGGTGGTGGGGCACCACTTTTGTTTTTTTTTAAAACGTACACTCATCATGCCGAATTTGCCAACAAGAAATAGAGGATACCAGATATGTTTTGATGGAATGTGACATTGCCAAAGTGATTTGGACTGAACAGGAGTTCCAGCCACTCTCCTCCACACCTTCAATGGGCCACTGGAAACATGGATGAAAGTTAATGAGATGTCTAAAAACTTTACCCACTCACAAGAAATAGAGGACACAATATTCCATGGACAACACTTTTCCTTTACACCTGGTGCCTGTATATGGTACCATCGAGACCGGTGGTGGGTGGGTGTTTTGCAATAAAACAACACCTACAGGGAAAGTTACTCAACAAGCCTTAGACAGAGCCGTTGAATATTATCACATTCACAATCATAACACCAGACCCTTAAGTTCTGAAGCATTCCTTGGCTAGAAGCCCCCGCCAACTGGTTGGGTAAAATTGAACACAGATGATGCAGACGTTGTTGGTTTATTTTTATGGAGTCTAGTTTGTATATGTGATCCGGATGATGATCCGACCCGAAATAATGTTGTGTGGTTTTTAATGGAAAATTTTCTGAGGCTTAGTCCATGAAGCGAAGGCTTGGGCCGATAGGCCCAAGCCGTAGCACTCATGGACAAGCCTCGTGGGGGTTCGGGGGCAACGCCCCCGAGGAAAATTTTTTTGGGCCCGTTATACAGCCCAGTGCGTAGGACATATAAACCCTGTTGTTTTGGTGATTAGGGTTAATCGTGTATGGTACAGCCGCTATCTGTATTCAACTCTCTCAATAGTGAAATCCCTGCACCTTCATGGACGTAGGCAAATTGCCAAACCACGTAAAATCTGTGTCTTGTTCTTTCTTGTTTCTTATTGCTTTATATTCTTGATTTGTTCTTCGATTGTGTGTGTTTGTTAGTGGATTCAAATCGTGAGAAATCCCAACAGACCTACTGGGACAGGTGGAATTCTCTGTAATAACACAAGAAGGCTTGTGGTGGGCTTTTATGAGAAAAAAATTGGGATAACTATGAGCTTAGCTACTGAATTGTGGACTTTGAGAAGGGGGCTAAGTATTGCAAGACAGCATGGAATACAAAGGTTGGAAATGACTGTTGGCGATGTTGGGGCAATTTCAGGAGACCAATTTGCTGAAGCAGGAAATGACGGAAACCAACAGAAGTGCTGGCAAGGAAAGGTGTCCAGACTAAAGAAGGATGCCGTGTTTTTGTCAATGCTATTGATCGTATTAAAGAACAACTTAATGCTGATGCTATAAGTGTCTGTAAACTAATAGCATGATGGAAATTTTAGGGGCAAGTTGGAAATTTTGTATAGGTAGAAGCATGTGCCAGACAAAAAAAAAAAAGGTCCGCCCAGCAGGTCCCTCCACAAATCCTGCCCAATAGACCCGTTCAATTAATGGTGGGTTGGACTGCGGGTAACCTACTCTAACCCGAAGTCTAGCTCAACCCAGACGATAACTTATTTGAATAGGAATTTGAACCTAATTTATTTAGATCCAAACCTAACTCGAAAAAAAAGGATTCTTTGAAAGTCGGTACACTTAATTAGACTTATTTGACAAAAAGTAGATAGAATAAAATGTTTTGAAAAAAAGTACACACGTAAGTTACAAAGGCATAAATGCTCATTTTAGGGTTATTTAATTCAAAATCTCTTATCTTTAATGCACCTTAATTCATGTGTGTTTGTTAATACATATAAATACGCATTTAATGCACATTGATTCAAGTGTATTTGTTACTCCTTCTGTTCCTAAATATCTGTCGTTTTATACAATTTTTTTTGTTCCATAATATCTGTCATTTAATAAAATTAAAACATAATTAATATTTTTTCTTCCAAATTTACCCTTAACTTTTCAATGCATTAGATTAGGTGGAGGCTAAATACCTTTCATATTCCTTTCTTTCCCAATACATATTGAATAAGGGTATTTTAGTCTTGTGTAATTATTTTTTACTCATATTAAAGTTATTTAATAGTTTCATTAATCCTTGTGCAAAAATTTTAAACGACAGATATTTAAGAACAGAAGGAGTAATACATGTATGTATATATATATACACACACAAACACACACTTGTTGTTAAATCTCTTATTTAAATTTTAAATTATATTTAATGCACCTTGATTCAAGCATTTTTTTTTTTAGAGAAATGATTTTATTTTCAAATTAATGTAATATCCAAATAATGTAACAGTGTAACAATAACAATGTATTTGTTAAATAATGTACTTAGATATAAATAAGTATCAAAATTAAGAATTTAATTACCCAATATTTTTTTCTATGTAATTTTTTACGATTAAGTCTAATTAGTATAAGTGCTTCTAATTTTTCTAAAAAAAAATTCACAGGCGCCGGCCCATAGAGACCCTAGACATTTATTGTCCATTCACAAAGAAGGTCATATCATATGATTAGATTAGAACTAACTTATAATGTCCTATTTTAATCTCCTTCCTATGACACACACTTGTGAGGTGGAGAAAGTGTCTTCATTGGAGATTTAATTTTGTAAGCAAACATGAAGTTTGTGGTGAGATTAGGCTTTAGCTTACTTGGTTCATAAACCCACCTAACCCCATTATGGTACAATAATGAGTTCTTCCTAATGAGTTCTAATGCCCAACTTGGACTACTACAATTAGTGGCTAGGGATTAAGCCACATGACTAGATATATGATTTGGATAAATACAAAATAGATTGGATTAAATAAACAATATTCATGATCTTCTAGTTAGGAAAGTTAGATTGATAATCGACTCGAGTTTTACGAGCTCGTTTTTTTAAATTAGTTTAAAAAATTACTGAAACTCGGCTCTTTTTTAAGATGATAATTAAAGGAATAATTTAAGAGATAAATTATAATTGAAAGACTAAAGTATAATTTATACGCGTGTATACTTTTTAAACACATGTTTATAACACAAACTTTGTATGCAAGCAATCACATGTATATTTGAGACTTATTCTTCAAGAATCATATTAAAAATCTCAAATAAATAACTTTTGAACTCTTCTCAACCACTTGTCATCATAGATTGTTAGCTTGTAATATTTGAATGCCACACCAAAATTAATTTAGGGTCGTAAATTTTTATTTAATTGATTTATAATTATTGATTGTAAAAATCATAGGGTGATATATAAAATAAAAGACAAAAATTTACACGTAACATGACTTTTTAGATAAAAAAAAATAAAAATACAATACAAAAAATTAATCTCTATAATAGTTAGCATTTTGAATTTTATCTCCATACATTTTTTCCGCTCATTTCTATCATATCACCTAATTTTTATCACAAATTAAATCATTTAACTCAGACATTGTTCATGTATGCTAGTAGTATACATATGTTGATATTTTTTAAGGTCATATATTTCAAGACAATTTTGTCGATTTTTAAAAAAAACATAATTGCTTCAAATTAGTTTTAAACAATGTAAATAAAAAAAAAAAAGAATTTTTAAAAGTTGATATAATTAGATTAAATTTTTAAGTGCTTGAATTTTATTTTGTATTATCAGATTAAGGATTAAAATTACGTTTCGGTGAACTTGAAAATAAAAACTTTTCGATAATATTCCAGAAACAAATTAAATTGGTTAAAATATAGATCGAAACATAAAATATTTAATATTTAATTAATGATTTCTTTTTAAGTTTTATGAAAATAAAAATATTTTAAACGTTTTGATAATTTCGAAACAAAATTTAATTTCTTACTTCGAGCACGAATTATAATTAATTTTTCGATATAGTAGGGGTATACAGTGGGGTAATTCAAATTAGATAAGGATTACACTTGTTGCAACTCCGACAATGAGAATTAGGGGTGCAACTTGCGTTGGGCAACCCGATTTTAACCCGAGCCCAACCCAAAAAAATTAGGACTTTGACAAGGATTTTTAATACTTGGGTTGGGTTCGGGTTAAGATCTCGTGAACCCCAGTTCAACCCGAACCCGACAAATTTAAAAAAAATATAAATATAAATATAAATAAATATATATTATAAAATATTAGTACTGATTTTTCATTTTTGTTCTCTACCTCTCTCGTTCTCTCACCCTCTCTTGTTAAAAACTTGGTTGGAGTTATTGATTGTTAATTTAGGTGAATATTATGTAATATATGTATTAGGTTTAGAATAACAAGGCTATTTTAGATTCTACCCGAACTGAATCCGTAAAATAATCCAAAATTAGCCCGAAATCATCAACCTAAGCTCGTCCAAATTAAACTCGGGCAGTGCTCGGATTGAGTTTCCTAATCCGAGGTAGGATTAGGATTAAACATTATGTACCTAGAATTGAATTAGGGTTGATTGTCCAATTCGTCCAAATTGCACCCCGGCTTCTCAAAAAACACAAGAAGACCGTTTCGAAGCACGTGACGATAAGTTCCCATTTGACGTGGCGTGAAATCATTTTGAAATTTCTTCAGGGCGGCAACCACTAGCATCATGACGCGTGTCCTGACGTATGACGTGGCATATCATAGTCGGTTAAAAAAACCAGCCCAAAACTCGGAAAAGCGAGCGCGTCGGAGCACGCGGAGCTGTCTGTGGAAAGTGGAAACCGACTTTAGCTTAAATCGCTCCGCTTTCTCAGCAATTTTACATGAGTTTTCCCTCAGCAACACCCCTGGTGTTTGCTAAAATTACAAACATGCCATTGTCCCATTTTTTCAACAATTTTACCTAAAAAAAATTTAAAATACTCACATGATATTTTGTTGACTTAATAAATCCCATTTTTTTAAAAAATACCTAATCTTCATTTGATCTACCAATAAAAATAGACGAAATGACTTAATTGAGACAAAATTCATAGTCTAGGGATTAAATTAGAATAATTAAAGTTTCAGAGACTAAATTAAAACTAAAAATAAAGTTCATGGACCAATTATGATTTTTATCCTATAAATAAATAAATCCTGGCCATTTAACTAGAATCGGAGGACCCTCTGTCATTCTAAAAGAAATAAGGGTAGTTTAGTCATTTCACAATATTATGTCAGCTTTTATGTAGCGAAGTAGCTTGCATTGACAAAACCACTTTCACTTTGAAGACCCTCTCGTCGTCTTTAAGCACAAGCTTCACAGTTCTTGTCCTCTCTAGCCATTGCTATTGCTTTGCTTTCCGGGTTACAACTGTAGATTTACACCTTTCTCTCTCTAACATATATGTGTTTCTAGAGGGAGAAATAGATAGGGAGAGAGAAAGACGTCGCTTCCCGCGTTTTCCATCTGCAATCTGAATTTACTGATGCGTGCAAGCTATTCTCACAATCTCAACACCCCACATTTTCTTGGTCCTTAACGGTTTTAACTCTCTTTCTCTCCCTCTAAGCTTCTTCATTCCTCAGAAGTCTCAATCTCTATCTGTCTCATCACTTTCCTTTTCCATCACTCTCCTCTCTATAAAGCTAAACCCATCAAATTTTCTTACCAAATTTCTTGTCTGTTCCTGGGATTTCTTTGTTCCAATCAGCATCAAAGGCTTGATAGTTGATACTTTGGTTCATTTTCTTACTGATTCACCACGAAATCTATGAAGTACGAATTTCTTGTTATCTAATCTGAATCTTTCTATTTTGGGTATTGTGTTATATTATATTAATCAGATTGAAAAGCCTAAAGAAGCTTTATGATTTTTTTTCCTGCTGACTTGCACCGATGCAGTTCATGAAATCATAAATTATTCGCATATAATTTAAAATTCAGAGTTTTGTTCAAGTGGGTTCGGTTTGACGTGTATATTTGTGATGTAAATTATCTGTGTTTGGATCTGCACATCATCCATATCTTTTATCTTCTCCTTCAACAAGGAATTTTCAATTCGATTTAAAGGGTTTTAAAATTGAGGTTGGTTTGTTCTTTGTATAGATCTGAATTCAGACAATGGGAATTCACATGAGCAAGAAGACTGCTGAAACTTCAGCTGCAATAAACAATCTACAATACACAACTGAGCTCAACTCATACGAAGCCGCGTGCCGAGTTGACACAGATTTGCAGTCCTTCGACACAACCCTCCAAGCTCGAACCAATCATGTCATCAATTCCCTAGCTGTCGGGGTAGAAGTTCGGGCATTGTCGTTCGATTCTCTAAAAGAAGTCACAGAATGCCTCCTGGAGATGAACCAGGAGGTAGTTAAAGTGATTCTGGAGTGCAAGAAAGACATATGGAAGAATCAAGAACTATTCGAGCTTGTAGAGGAGTACTTCGAGAACAGTTTGCAGACTCTGGATTTCTGTGCTGCATTGGAGAAATGTTTGAAGCGAGCACGTGACAGCCAGTTGATTATTCTCATCGCGCTTCAACAGTTTGAAGAGGAGGATGGGGTGGAAGGAAGTAGATATGTGAGAACTTTGGAGGAGCTGAAGAATTTCAAGGCTGCTGGTGACCCTTTCACCGAAGAGTTCTTCCAAAATTTTCAATCTGTTTATAGGCAGCAGATACTAATGCTTGAGAAATTGCAACTCAGAAAGACTAAACTTGATAAGAAGATCAAGAGCATTCATGCGTGGAGAAAGGTGTCAAATGTAATTTTTGTAGCTACTTTTGCGGCTGTGCTGATTTGCTCAGTGGTGGCAGCCGCCATGGCTGCACCACCTGTTGCAGCAGCTCTTGCTGCTGCAACTTCGATCCCCTTGGGTTCGATGGGCAAGTGGATTGATTCTCTTCTGAAGAACTATGAAAATGCAGTGAGAGGACAGAAGGAAGTCATTAACTCTATGCATGTGGGTACTTATGTTGCAATTAAGGACTTGGAGAACATTCGGGTACTCATCGACCGATTGGAAATTGAGATTGAAATGATTTTACAGAATGCTGATTTTGCTATTAAGGAAGAAGCTGTGCAGATTGGGATAGCTGAGATAAAGAAGAAGCTGGATGTGCTTATGAAAAATGTTGAGGATTTAGGGATGCAAGCTGATATCTGCAGCCGGGATATTCGCAGGGCAAGAACTGTGGTTCTGCAGAGGATCATAAAACATCCCAATCCTTGAAACATGCTCCTTCATACTTTACCAAACAACTGTTCTTATGCTGCAAACATCTATTTTATTTCTATATATCATTATGCCAATCACACGTTCAATGTTTATAATTTGGGTCCATGCAAAAAGATTCATGTTATTATGAAGAATAAGGGATATTGGATCTCATTTGTAATCTGTAGGCATAGACATTTCTAGTTTCTAAGTCTAGAAAGTTCGTTGTTTCCAATTCATTCATTTTTTTATGGTATTAGTATTTCATATGCTGATTGATTCCTTATGTTGAGAGTTTTAGAATACGTCTTTTTTTCTTCTTTACAGTGCTTCTTGATCATGCTTGTTTTAGAGTATGCATTTGGTGTAGACTTGCATTTCTAACTCTAAGATTGGACCTATATAACTCAATTCCAGGCTTTTTTGAGATCATCTTTTGCATTATGATTTCCATGGTAAGTAGCTAGCAACTATCTTGTGAAGGTAAAAATTAGTGGCAGACTGGCCCCTCTCTCCTCCAACACGTCTCATCTCTAGTCAAGCACACCCGAAAATCAGCCTCTTCAAAATGGAGGCAATGATGCCTACCACTTACATCTTCTAGAAACCACTATAGTTCAACAGAAGAACACTAGTTTTTCGTGATCTCTGATTACAACTTCAATCCTACCATATCATATTCAGTCAGCACTACCTTTGAAATTGTCAATTTAGCAAATTCATTGAGGAGATATGTGCTTGTCCATAGTATCTGATTTTTGAGCTTATATAGCCAACTTAAAATTTTTGGTCAACAGGTTTATCCTGTTATGGTTACAGATGACATCATGATAATAAACAAATCCACAAGACAGTCAATTCTCTTCAAATAAAAGTCATACACACTTTAATCTACTAATGGAAAAAACCTTTCCCTTCAACTAAATATTGCTTCTATCCCTAGTCTGTAGTAAGTAGTACATCATTATCAATCAAATTAGTTTTCCAAGAGCTGAAGGGCATTCTGTAAAACTAGTTTTCTAAGAGCTGAAGGCCAAGGCATCTCTTCAGTTTTACGAGTTTTCTTATCATTTTAAATTCATATTTTTTATTTCCCTGCAACTGAATGTCACATGTACTCTTAATCTATAGTAGTGCATCCTTATCTGCCAAATTAATTTTCTACATGCTGAAGGGTGTCTCTTTAGTTTTAGGGTTAATTGAAAGTTGCACCCCGAAAGATAGTTCGAATATCAATTCACACCCCCAAAGATTAAGAATCTCAATTTGTAACCTCAAAAATAGAAATTTGTATCAATGTGCACCCCAAAAAATAAAAAATCTCAATTTGCACCCTCAAAGATAGAAATTTGTATCAATGTGCACCCCCAAAGATAAAAAATCTTAATTTACACCCTCAAAGATAGAAATTTGTATCAATGTATATCTAAAACTAAATTGATAAATTATATCTAGATCCCCTCATACTTGTCACTTAATCATTTGGACCCCTTCACGTTTAGAATATTACTCCTACATTTTATGGCGTTTGTGTACGTGTAACACGTAACCCTTTTTCGTTGATATATGTTAATTAATATAACCGTTAAAAAATATGATTTTATCCTAATAAAAAATTATAATTTCATATTATCCTTTATTTTGTGAGTCCGATATACTCTAAAGTTCAAAATCAAGTTTACCATTTGAATGTCCAATAAAATGTAGATATTTATATAATATTTTTTATATCCAATGTAATATATCACTCAATGTGCAACCCTTTATTCTATTAGACATTCAAATGGTATGCTTGATTTTGCATTTTAGAGTATATTGGACCCATAAAATAAAGGGTAATATGAAATTATAATTTTTTATTAGGATAAAATCATATTTTTTAACGATTATATTAACAGATATCAACGAAAAGGGATTACGTGTTACACGTGTACAAACGTCATAAGATGTAGGAGTAATATTCTAAATGTAAAGAGGTTCAAATGATTAAGTGACCAGCATAAGGGATCTAGGTATAATTTATCAATTTAGTTTTAGGTGCACATTGATACAAATTTCTATCTTTGATGGTGCAAATTGAGATTTTTTATTTTTGGGGGTGCACATTGATACAAATTTCTATCTTTGAGGGTGCAAATTGATACAAATTTCTATCTTTGAGGGTGCAAATTGAGATTTTTGATCTTTAAGGGTGCAAATTGAAATTCGAATGATCTTTCAGGGTACAATTTACGATTAACCCTTAGTTTTATGATTTTTTATCATTTTGAATTTCTTATATTTTAACAGTTCAGTTACGGTTAATATAAGCAATCCATAAATTCTATGTATAAAATGAGGAATTTGTCAGTTATTCTGGAAAGTTTTTGCCAATTATCTAAAGGTGAAGGTGGAGACCTCGCTAAATGGGTTTTTTTTTTTTAATCTTTTTTATCCTTGGTACTATATATCTCTTATATGTACAGCCTAATTAATGTTTCCCTGCCTGTAATATCAACTATAACAAAACACCAAACTTGATTGTTATGTCACAAAGGATTCCGTCACAAATCAGAATGGCACTTACGAAGAGATATATGCCTTTATGAATAATGATGAAATATTTTACAGCAGAAATATTTCTAGGTTAGATGCTGAGAGAACCACCAAAATCAATTGGAAATATAAATTTTCCATAGGCAAAAATATAATTAGTCATTAAGATCATTCAAAACCCATTAATTCTCAGTTCATTCATGACATTAATAGATTGGAATAATGTTCAGCTTTCAAAAAGCCACAATGGGTGATGGTCGAATATCAAGATATGTAGCAGATGCCAGATATGCACAAACAAGGGAAATATAAATTTTGAACCAAATGGAGGAAAAAAAGGTGAGAAATGCACATATGCTGGTCAAGATGATTACAAAAATGAAGTTTACCAGACACTTCATGGTAGACAGACCTCCTTCTATTCCTTCACGAGGGAAATGACCCTTTGAATAAAAATCAAAGAGCAACTGATCCTTGAGACAGAATGTATCCATCAACCAAGAAGCTGCCTTGTCTTCGGATGTTGGGATGTCAGCAAGAGGAATACGCCGAATATGAATGTGAACTTCGGATGGGTCCACCCCACATGCATTGTCCAAGAAAGATGGGCACCGATGCTTGTACCCAATTGTAGCATCATAAACTAAGTGAAATAAAAACAGACATACGGATTGTCAGTAGGATGTAGAGTAGATATCAATTTCAAACCACAGGTTCAATATGAAATCCGTATTGATAATTTCCCTAGAATCAAAAATAAATAGATTATCTTCCTTAATGTTGAATAGCATATATAACTTAACATTCAAACAAGGAAATGGAACAATCATAATACACAGTACAATTGAGCAAGCACCATCTCACCTGTTGCAGCGCATAAACTAATATACATTCAAGTATGTTATAGAATCTAGATGCAATCCATATTTCCCTTTGTTGTCTTCCTATTTTGCTAACAGAATATGCAACCCCCCCCCCCAAAAAAAAAAAAAAAACCCCCCTTTTTCATGTCTTTGAAATTGATGAACTTTAATACTGATTGTGGCAAAAGTAAAGCGAACACATTAACTAACGATGATTTGCTAATGGTTAACAGAGGGGAAAGAACAGCGCACTGAACTCATCCTTCAAAATTTTTAATTCTTGTCCCCTTTTTTCCTTTACAAAATGATGGCTAAATACCAAATTAAAAATGTAACTGAAGCCCTCAGGCAGCAATTATAGTGGCAGCCTAAGCATCAAAAAGTAATGCAACACCTAGGCAGAAACTCCCATGTCTGCAAGTTACACCAAGGTCACTGCAAAACTGATTCAGGAAATTCACTAAACTTAGATCACTATTCAGATTCAGAAACTAAAATATCAGATTTAATTTAAGCCATTAAGGAAAAAAAAACCAGCGTTGTAAGAATTCTCAAAAAGATAAACACTACTGATAACATGCATGTGCAATAATTACGTCTCCTTCCTCAAGCCATCCCAGAAATTCATAAACCTTGTTCAAAGTGATCAGATACGCCATCATCTCAAAAAGCAAAATTTCCAAACGATATAAGGTTTTAAGAAGGAAAAAAACAACCTGCATCTAAGGAGCCTCTCAATTCCTCCAAGCAGGCACAAAAACCCTTTGTTTTGGGAAGCAGGACATTCTTTAGGACAGGCAGTCCATTTTCAGAAGCATACTTTTGACTACGAATACACTTCTGTTCACTGCATTAGAAACAATGACTGAAACTTAATAAGTCATATAAATGGAAACATGAATAGGAAGCACTAACCAAAACATGGCTATTACAATTACATGGTTTTCTGC